CTTCTTCTTTTTTTAATTTTGTTACTCTCTTGTAACGCCTCTAACCTTCTGGCGCTCATAACGACCTTATGCAGTTGCGAACGCCGTAAAGCCTCTACTAAGAACGAATTCTCTGACACACAAGCTCACATACACACTGCCTCTCTATTGTCTCACCTCGACCAGACCTTGGAGAATTCGGACAGAGATGACCAGTCCGTAGTGGACCTCCGCAGCCCCGGGCAGCAACAGGTTCAGACACGCTGAGATTCCAATGGCCAGCCCAAACAGTCTGCGGAAATACAAGACATGGTTTGCTTTATGGTAATGTTGAATAAATGACAAGGTTTGCCTTGTGTTAATGTTGAATAAGTGGCACGATTTTCTTCATGCTGATGTGGAATAAATGTTCGCTTTATGCTAATGTTGAATAAATGGCAAGATTTGCTTTATGCTAATATGGAATAAGTTTCAAGATTTGCTTTATGCTAATGTGGAATAAATGACACAGTTTGCTTTATGCTAAAGTGGTCTAGATGACAGGGTTTGAGCTTGTCTTGTCTTGTCTTGTCCTGTCTTGTCTTCTCTTGTCATGTTTGTCTTCTCTTCTCTTCCCTTCTCTTCCCTTCTCTTATTCTCTTCTCTTTTCTTCTCTTCTCTTCCCTTCTCTTCTCTTCTCTTCTCTTCTCTTCCCTTCTCTTCTCTTCTTTTCTCTTCTCTTCTCTTCTTTTCTCTGCTCTTCTCATCTCTTCTCTGCTCTTCCCTTCTCTTCTCTTCTCTTCTCTGCTCTTCTCATCTCTTATTCTCTTCTCTTCTCTTCTTCTTTTAGAAGCTGATTACTGTTTCCCAGGGTAAAAACTGCAATCCAAAATATAATAGCTTTCCCACAAGAGAAATTAAACTCACGTTTTCAGAGTGTGACAAAAAGCTAGCAACAAAGACTTTTGTATATAGTTTTTGTCTTTTTACGTTTGCAAAAAGTAAAGGTGAAGTAAAGAAAGAAGTGAAACCAAACAGATAACGTATATGGTACGGTTATCTACATATATAATTTATTTAAATAGAGCTTGATTTCTATTAGTTTTTAGTTTTTTGTTTTCGTAAGAGTTTTACGGCACTTGAAACACAGTAAGGTCATATAAGTGCCGAAGATTACAGGTGTTACAAGAGAGTAACAAACACAAGAAAAAAGGAGGAGAGATCAGTACGATAGATGTCTGATAGGAAAGAAGAAGCAAACCTCACCAGAGCACCCGCCAACCACCCATGGTTTATATCACAGTGTCTCTGACATGTAAGGGCGAGGGAAAAGTACACCGAAACCTGGCTATGGCGCTCATATGA